CAAGATTAAACAGCATTGTTCAGTTTCTTCCTCAGTGTTAGTGGGTTCTCTTTTTCCTTTCTTTAAGCATAAGATGTTTTGCTTTTTTGCTCCATTGTTTGGGGGTAAGAGGCTCTCAGAGAGCAAGAGTGGGGCAAGTGCTGCAATTTGTGCAGTTCTTCTGCCCTGCTCCTAAGTGCCTCCTCAAGCCTGCAATTCCTCTCCTTTCATTTCACCACCGGGGGGACGGGAAGAGAGGGGAAATGCATGTTTTAAAAGCTCAGAATTGCCTAATTCTTTTTTACCAACTGAGTTACATTTTCAAAATATCCTTTGTGAGACTGATTATATTTTCTAATTTTGCCCAAACAATATGAATGCTCTTCATATCTTAAACATTAATTTTGATATGTTTTGGCGTGTTTTGTAATTTGAATAAATAATTTTTAAAAGTCTGTATAAACACTGATGATTAAGAGAAACATTTTAGATGACATGTTTTTAGGGGTTTTTTAATTGAAATAATTTAGTAACTTTTTGAAACAATGCTTGCTATCCATAAACTGCTCCTCTGAAAACTGAATATTTGTATTCAGTATCTGTTGCAAGTTAAAAGGTAAATGAATGTCTTATGACTTGAAATAGGGTACAGTATTCTGTTCAACTGTGCTATGTTTTTTTTATGAAATACTGATTTTAAATTTATCAAAATTTTTGAGATTGGGGTAGTCTTGCCACTTGCTCACGTGGTAGTGAATAGTCTCACTGCTAAAGAACTCCCGAAAGTTTGGTTTTATTTTGAATATTTCATCTTCTAACTGAACATTCATTATAATCAGTTTATTATATGAGTATTTATTACAATCTTATTACAGATGACTCTGCTTTTTTGTACAGTTCTGGTTATAGTGGTGTACTCCTATGTTTGTGTAACACGTTTTGCCATGTTTTGCCCGTCTCCAGTCTGGATGTAACTGGTGCTTCATTGGCAGTTCAGCTAATGATAGAAGCATATCACACTTAGACTTTTATCTTTGCCTTGTATTTCTAGCTAGATAGATATGACTTATGTATATTAATGGCAGATGAAGCATGGCTGAATTGAGGCTGTTGCCACTGACAGTCTGGTGAAGAAGTACGTTTCATTGTGAATGTTTTAAATGTTATTTTTTTAAGCATTCCAAACTCACAGGTTTGTATACAGGAAGAATGGCAATGCTGATGAAGGCATGACTGTGTAAGACAGACTAATTTATGGCAAGATGTGGTAGAAATAACGTCATGTGTTAGTGTTAGAGCAGCTAATACGGAAGGCAAAAATTTGTAAACTCTCAGGTGCGCAAACCTCCTTATGTCTAAAAAGAAGCAGCTGACTTCAAAGCTAAGTACTCGGGGAGAACAAGAAAAGTTCTCTGAATTAGAATGGCTATGTTAAATCAGACTATTTAATACAACGAGTAGTTGACCCCTGCCGTGCTGAAGGAGGTTGTTAGTAAGGTACATGTTATTAAACATCAGTTAAGTTTTTCCTAACGGAAACAGGTTGGTATTTTATCACCTATGGAATATGGAGGAGGTCATGGGGAGAGAGGATGATGGGCTATAAGCAAGTATCTCTACAGAGTCTAGTGGAGTTCTGTGTTGGAGCCCATAAGCCTATTTTTCGAGGGATTTTTGGTCTCCATTGAGTAACTGGGCTGGCAGGTCACAGGCATACTGACAAGCTGCCTTCACTGGAAAGCAGACTGGATTCATTCCATGCGTGTGCGCTGGTCGGTGAGGAGCAGACCTGTGATGCTGTCCTTGCTGGCGCGTGAGGGCTCTCCGTGCTCGCGTACTTAAGGAGTTTATATGCTTGTCTTTTCCTTGGGCTCATGGGTGGATTAGTGTCTCTTTTCATTACCCTAACTAGATAAATGTTTCATATGCAGCCTTAATTATTTTTTCATGTGTATTAAAGAATAGTTGAACTCCCAGTTCTGGGAGGGGTGCTTGGTCTTTGGGTTTTTTAGCCCTTCATCTTTGGAGGAAAACAAAAAAAAAAGGAATAGATAAAAGAGTCACTTCTAGCTTTGACTGAGCTGTTAGGGTTTAACAAGATAGCCAGTATCGAGTCTTGTAATCTAATAATTGAACTTCAGATTTTTATTACATTTTTATTGTTTCACATTGAGAATGTTTTTAAATTGCATCTTATTTATTATGAACAATGTTAGTAGGCCATTACAAATCAACCACAAACCTGTAAAGAATTAATCTGTCTCAGAGTAAGATCCCAAGTGTAATCATAATTGTTTAATAGTTCTCTTTGCTCTTTGTTAGAAGAGCTGAAAAGAACTTAAGTATAAAACTGTAAAGAAAATTGCTTGGACTAAGGAGTGACAAGACTAATAGGTAGTGATTTTTTTTTAACACTAATCAAATGTATCTGTAAACAAACACAAGTAACTGATTAAATCACTGTGCAAGTATCAAAAGTAAATCTGTTCAGCTGTTTAAAACTGCTCTAACCGTCTGTAAAGTAAATTATAGCTCTTATATGTTGTAAAGGCATGGCATTTAGGGAGTATTTAAAAAAGAGAAGGTGGATACAGAACAGAAGAATATAGAAGAACAAACTTACTAGAGCTGATTTCATACAGTGTTATGGATGTAAGACAATGTAAGTCTGAAGCATACTGTGGCTTAACTAAGTGGTGGCTGCTAAAACTACAAAGGCTGGTGAGGTCATTTTGTGCCTGGTTCTCAGTTTGAAAGGCACTTGGGATTGTACCTTGGTCAGATCGTGTAGCAATGTCTGAAGGACCATAAAAATAAAATGTTAAATTCTGGCAGCACAGTTCAAAATAAGCTTGTAATTTTTGTGAAGGCAACATCAACAGATGAGTCGAAAGGTGATTAAGACAATATAGCAAAGAGAACCAGAGCAGCAACTAAATTCCAGCAGGAGAAAATTATAAAAATCTCTTTCAGCAAAGTTGCTGGTTTTTGGTTTGTTTTTTTTTTTAAAGTAAATTCTTTCAGGTTTCTCATTTATTTATCTAAGATATCAGGTAGTTATGAACACTTCTGTATGTTATGTAACCATAAGACTGCAGGTAAACACTGAAATGTTATTTAAGTGGCTAGCAAGTTTATATATGTTTTTCTCCAAGTTACCATTTGCACGTTTTTCATGGTTATGATTTATAAATTACATAGGAAACACATGATGTCTATTTGCAATCATAATACATTTTGTTGAGCTAGTACAAAGAGTTGTTCAAGGTAATTCTGTATTTTAGAGGTGTTTTATCATATGATTATAAGATCGTAATAATTTGACATAAAAGTGTGCCACTGCAAAAGTGGGCAGTCCTAACTTCCCTCAGTTCCTGGCTGCTTGTTTCCAAGAGCTTCAGATGTTCTCCTCTTGTTAAAAAGCAGTGAGAGATGATGGCGCGATCATATCAGCACCACACTAACACAGGTGCTGGGACAAATAAAGAACAAAACCCTCAGAGAATACCGCTGAGAGAGCATCCTTTCGGAAACAGTCTGGGTGCATTGGTTTGAAGGAGATGCCTAACAGTGGTGCAACTAGCTTTGTTTATTATTTAGGTTTTTTTTTTTTCACATAACTTAGTAGGAAAATGAAGCAGATGGATAGTATAGAAAACTAGAAGGGTCTTCAGAATCCTAGTCCCTTTTCATTTATTGACAGTAAACTGAAGGTATAAACATATATGGTCAATGCCATGCCTTGTAAGAACCAAAGGAACAGCATAATTAGTGATTTCTGAATTGATAATATACCAATCCTGAAAGTGTAGGTGCCTTCTATTCTATTCTGTTCTGTTCTATACCAATTTGTGTTTGTATATTTCTTTTTAAATATAATTTTCTTGGAGTTAAACAGTTAAGATACTTGTAAACTAAGCAGTTACAGTAAGTGATATTTAAAATTCAGATGGCAGTCATAGGTAGCTACTTAGTGTGCTTGGGCAAATCAAACCTATTTGGCTGGCATAGTTCTTTTGTGCTGCAAGTTAGCTACATCTCTTTCAAGCTGTTAATAAATTGCTGTACAGTGACCAAAATGCAGTCTTGACAAATGTACTCTTCTGCTGTTAATGCACTGGAAAGGTCGTTTTTCCTTCTTACTGCTCTGACCATAACGCCATCTGCTTTTCACCCTTTTACTGGCATCCTCTTATTCATCGCAACAAATATTAGCTTCCAACACTCCTCACATGAACTTCAAACATAGTTCTTGTTCACTTACGTGATCGTGATTTGAATGCCATTCAGCAGCTTGTGATGATGAACCGGCGTCACCTGCTTCCTGGGTTTTCAGTTCTGTGCTTTCTCCCCTTTTGCCCTTCGTTTTTGGAAGAACTTCTTTGTAAATATTCACTAGCTAGCTGATTACGTTTCTTCAAACGCTTCTTAAACATCATCTTTCTAGAAAGCTAATATAAATCTTGATAAAACTGAATTCAGCCATCATACCAGTCAGTTTTGTCTTATTCTCTCTTTTTGTATGTGTTTGCGTCCCTCTCTCTGCTCTCTTGTACTTGTCCTATGATTTCTGACAAAGTAGTAGTTAAAAGGAAGTTTTTCTATGATAACAGGTCCTGAGTGCATAAGAGTGATGATGGGTCTCACCTCAGCTTTGCTCTATAACCTTCGTCATTCCCCAAGGACTAGTATCAGTTCTCCCTGGAATCAGACTAAAAGATGATTTGGGGAACCTAGAAAAAGGAAGAAAAAAGGCTCCTGCCCCACTTTACAGTCTGGCAAAACCACACTTGGACTTTTATTTGCAGTGTGACGGTTGGAGGTGCTACAACAATTCTTTTGGACTCCAAATAATAAAACATTTGAATCGAAACACTGTTGTTTTGCTATTAGGCATCTAATGGTGATGTAATGCCTGGAAAATAAGGAAAGGTTTTAAGCATTTTTGCTATTGACTTGTGTGATTGAAAAATAGCTAAAGAAACATTAAAGTGTTTGTTTCTCTGTTTTTTTCCCTCCAGATAAATACCCTTCAGTTGGAATTTACTATTGCCAATATGTATCATTCTGTGTCTGAAACCAGTCACCCTTTGCAATCAGAGGAACAAGAAATAGGCATTGATCCCTTGCAGAGTTATTTGCACAAGCCAGGGGAAGGTGAGTTTTGTATTTCTGTACTTTTTTGACTTTATACCTAGAAACCTTATATAAGTGCGTCATGATAACTGTACCTGTCGTAATTCATTTAGTTCTTTCAATGAAGTTGAACAGGGCAACTTAAAGAACATTTCACAGAGTATGTGTAGAACACTCTGACACTAATGAAAACCACGAAAAGTCAACTTTCAATTACAGACAGAAACATTAGCCAAATGTTTAATGCGCTGTCATCCTTTTTTAATCATAAACCAAACACTGACTTCAGCATAAGAATATTGAAATGCAGTGTGGCTTTATGTTACTTTCTCAAGCATGAGCTCTTACAGTGCTTTGGTTTTAGGGATTTTTCTGTTTTCCTTTTTTTTTTTTTAATTCTGCAATAAAGTTCAGTGGATGAGATTGTGCAAATAAAAAGGCTGATTTCCTTGTTTGTTTGTTTGTTTGACTTAGCACTTATATTCGTATGTGGTAAAAAAACCTGGAAGTTGAGATAGAATGAACAGGCTTTAAAGGCAGAAATTGCTATGGAACTGAAAGTAAATTAATTAAATGCAGTATTTGGAAGACTCTAATGAACAGTGAGAACAAACTGCTTGCATAATGCAATGCATGTCTGTGTTGCTTGTCTTTTCTACTTATTTGCTAGTAGTGACAGTATAGTTGGTTTGAAGAAAGTGATAAGCTTAACGAGAAAGCTCGTCCTTGTCATGAAAACATTCCTCAAGTACTCAGTTATACACAGTGGCACCTTAACTACCTGTAATTTTCCAGTCATTGAACACATGTACCAGGAGGGCAAAATAAAAAATTTATTTTAAATTACAGAGTTGAAACAACTTTGTCACATTTCCTAAGTCCCTCACCCAGATCAACTACTCTGTGTGGGTGTATCTGTCTATAAATCTTCTGTTTACTAGTGCTTATTAAAAAAGCTATGTCAAGTTTTGCTTAGTCAGGTTTATTACTTCAGTTTGTAAGAAGCTGATGTTTTGCTTTAAAATATATTGGTAAAACTTCATTGTCCCTTTGAGCTAATTTTTTTTCATTTTTTCTTCATTGGCTTATAAAGCTTTTTCAATGTTAGAAAATGAGAATGAACATCTAGGGGGAAGTATTTTAAAACCTGACGATTAAATGAAATAGCTTTTCTAGGTCAGTGTTACTCTTCTATTATATTTGACGTGTTAACGATATGGAGTCATTTTAGTTTGATAAACTAAATGCTTTTTTCTACATATTTTTAGAAACTTGAAAATAATCTTTTGCAATAACCTAAAATAATCATTTTTCAGAGGAAATATAGCTTGCTTCTAGTCTACCCCAATCAAGAAAAAGATAAGCATTTCTTCTGGGTTTTTTCCTTAAAAAACCACTGGTAATTCTCTCAACTCTGTTTCAAGAAAAACCAAGATTTTTACCCTCTTAAAAAAACACTGTAAATTAATTTTACCCTTTATTGTGCCCAGAAGCGATTAGTTACCTTAACTGAAAAGGTTTCTCATTTTTATCCCAACCTTAACATTTCTATGACATACAAAGTTATTAGTATTGAATTGATGTTTAAAAGTGCCATTAATTCATTTACCCCAAATGTTCATTAACAATGTAAATGTATGCTGATGTTCTATGAGACAAGGAAGTGACTAATGACTCTTCGCACTAACAACACTTAAAATGAATAGAAACTTTAGATAGCTAATCTTGAAGTAATCAAGACCCTCATTCAGCTTGGCATCTCTGTATGCTCTAAAACAGCTGTCAACTGTTAAAAATATATACACAACACATACATACGCACATGCGAAGATAAAGATATGTAAATACATGGTTCCCCAAGTCATAAAGGTTACCAACTATGGTACATTTTTTATGTTCTATCTATGTAAATATTTTATATAAAGCATCCATTTCATCTTCATGTTGGTTTTTTTTTTTACTGTGAAACACATACTGCATTTTAATTTGAAACTTTATATATCCAACATAAGTCTGTGAAGTTTTAATATATCATTTTAAATGTTTAGATGGTGTTAGGTCGTTGTGCATCAAAGTATACAGTCGTTCCTGTCCATGCAGTCTGTCCATCATTGTCTTCACAAAAGTACTTCAAGACAAGGTTTTTCAACTCTGCCTCAAGTTTCAGGCATGATACAGAATCAACTTGGTGAAAATCTTTTATCTTCAAGTCTTCTGTATCCTGTATCATAGAAATATGGAGGAGAGGTGGTCCATCAGTCGGATGTTCTGTGCGATACTGTAGAATATCAGGACATCTGAATTGTTTTTTGAAGCTGTGCTGAATGCTTAAAGTATTACCTTGGAGACAAAGTGATAGAAGTCTTCACTGAGATGAAGTAATAAAAATAAAGCACATCACTGATAAGGATGGTGAAAAAAAATACTAAATCATAGAGCTAGACAGATTTGTTAATCTACATGAAGTATTGTATTTTTAGTATGTGCAACTGATACCAAAACTTGATGGAGAACCAGGAGATGTCATGTCCAGTTGGAGTTTTGAAATTCTCCCACAAGGCATTTTCATAATATGAAAGAAATCTCAGAAATACATGGGTTATACTGTTAAGTATAGCTGGTTGGAAAACTGCATGCATAGACTACTTTCTGTTCATTCGCTGTCGCTTGGAAGGATATATTGGATGGGATTCCAGAAGTATGTTAATTGAATCTAGTAGTACTCAGTGCTTTTATTAAAATCTCTGTGAAGGTATAGAGAGCAAACGTGGTTTATCTGGGACAGGGTTGTTAGCACAACAGGGGCAGACATACAGTTCAAAGTATTCTTGAGATTTTGGAGAAGTGGCCTGAGAAGAATAAGACATGGTTCACCAGGAACAGCTGCAAGGATTAAAGTTGCAAGTGCTAGGCAGGAGACAATTACCTAGCTGAACAAATAAAAGTAGAGCATTACAGATGAGGTGAGTGTCATTTGGAGAAAGATCTGGGTGTTCATAGCACTCCAAATTTTGTGTAACTGAGGAACTTTGAATCTTGAGTTATGATGAGCCATGAGAATGTGCTTGTTTGCAAGTTTAAAAAATTTAGGATAGGCTGTTAACTATCAGACAGTCAAAATCTTTTTTCTATCCCTTTAAAATATTCCAAAAAAACAGATAAGGTAGTATTTCAGTCTTTTTCTAATGGTTGATTTGGCCTGTGTTATTTTCCTTGTGTCTGATTTTTTTTTCAAGATAGAAAAATGTGCATTGCATATATGCACTCATATATGCTTTTATAAATAACATTTTTAATAGTTGGTAAGAAATTTGTGGCAGGGATTCTCACTTTTGCAATCTGATACTTCAAATCGAAGATTTGAGTTCTTTTAAGAAATTTTAATTTTGGATTTTACCTTTTGAATCTGGTTGTATTTTACTTTATATGCATGTATGTATATGTGCATTGTTGTGTTTGCTTTTGACTATAGTAAGTTGATGGTATCTTGCTACATTTTCTGTTCTAAGAATCTTCATGATATTCTTCATTTTATTCTAACAATATTTTTGAACTATTCCCCCTGAAACAGGGAACTTTATCAGAGAAACTGATAAATCTTACCTTTTTTTGTCTCCAGCAGAGACTTTATAAACCCTGAATATATGAAGAGAAATTTCAGAAACTTTGCTCTTCTACCTTCTCCCTGCATATTGCATCTGACAAACTATTTTGTTCATTTCCAAATGGTTGAGGTTTATATTTAATTGAAACGGGATAACTAGGTTAACTGTTTCTGAGCTGCTGTAAATTTTTACTCTAAGTTTCAGTGTTCACCACATTGTGACACAAGTTTTGAAGAGCATAGTAGGTAGTATTCCCATTTCATTGATGTAATGAGAAGGTTGATCCTCTAAGGACACACTGGAACAATGCATTTAATACTCTTCAATTTAATTTGCTCAATATCACAATTAATACAATTAAGGTCACTCGAAATGAAACTATTAACGAATTGGGTAATTTACTTTAACAATGTCAGTGTGTTCTCACAATTACATTTGCTTTAATTAGTGTACAAGCCATTACTTAATAGCACACTTCACATAGAAAAATGTAATGTGTTCTTTGTTCTTAATAGAAGAAAAGGGGAAACCTTTAATGTGTCTGAGTGTTTTGGATTTGGAGTTTGGGGGTGTATATTTCATGTCTAAAGGCTATAGTTGGTGGTGAGGACAGAGAAGGCTGATATAGCTCAAAGGACAAAGATAACTACTGGAGTGTGTGACTGAAATTAATTGAGTTAAGATAGATCAGTTGCCCACCTCATACTTACTTACCATTGCATCCCTCCTGATTCTTAAGGCTGCCATGAAAAAATACAAGGGGTGGTAAGAGAACATTCATATTTCTATTTTGACCATATTCTGTGTGTTTCCATTGCTCATCTTTGGAGAATTTTGCTGTTCCAGTGTTAACCTCATAACTCTGATCACTAGAAAGTGTTACCATGTAGAACTATACCTTACATGGAGTTTGAGATACCTGGCTTATATCAGTGTTACATAGAAAACATGTAGTAAACAGGGGAATTAATTAATAAAGTAAATGCCACCTTCTCTGGACCTAACAGGACCCAAGTGCTATCAAATAATTTCCCAAATCTTAAGTGTTATTCACATGGGACTGTGTTGATCTTGGGTACATCCTTTCACATTTGTTCCAGGGTTAAGTGAATTTTTGCTGTCAGAAAATCGTATTATCTCCTAATCAGTCAGTAGCTCTTCCGTGTTATGAGTTGGGGTTTTTTGCGCTTATGACCCCCTTCAATCAGGGAGACAATGCTAATGCAGATTGCCCTGTGTGGTGTTTATCTGTCTCTGTGTTTAGAGATCACTTCCACAATTACATTTAAAAGAAACAACCACAGAGGTCTGGACCTCTCTGTGTGAGAAGTACGCTCCTAGGTAAAAGCAATTGAGACTGCAGATATAGTGAGTTCTTGAAGCCTTACTACTTTCTTATCAGATGTTTTTTGATAT